TAGAATATTATTTATGATTTTAAATAGCAAGTGTAAACTTTTATAATCTTTGTAGCCTTTTTAACTAGTTTAATTATTTTTACTAAGTCTAGATTTGAAATATCTATTTAGTATATGAAATTTTTGTAACCATGGTAATTTCCTAAAATATAGATCGACTCTTTTCTATCGTGATCATCTTTTCAAAATAAAAGTGAGAATTGACTTTAAATCTTTATACCATGGTAATTATTTTTTTTAGCTTACATCTTTTTATTACCATGGTATTTGATTAAGTTTTTTTTAGTTAGTAAAGTTAGGGTGTTGCATGGTATATGAATGTTGAGTTTTTAGAATGCTAATGGCTAGAATGTGTAGGCATTTGGTTGATGTGAGGGTACGTGTGACAAGTTTATAACCTTGAGTGTCCAAATTACTCATATGATATTAGATTAAGGTGAGACTAAAGACATTAGTTAGTTTCTTTAATTGCTACTTGTGAACATTTGGATCATCTCAATTAAAAATCCAAGCAAAAAGTTAGATGCTCTAGAAGTGGGAATTCTAAAAGCTATCATATTTGTTGTTGTTTTGAGTGTGCTGCAGTGGATCAAATGTGCGTTTGGTCATGGTGAACATGCCAATTTTGGGCTAAAATGATTTTTCTTCCCCTATTTAACCTAATTTAAAAGCACAAGCCTTTTTTCATATTTTCGCAATCTTCTTACTTTGATTTTACAACTCTTTTATGGGACTTTTCTTGTAATGTTCTATATTACTTATTTTAGGATCCTATTTACTCAAAAGTGTTTTATAAAAGTATTTTGGCTAAGCTTGATCCTTTTATTCTTGTCTAAATTCTTATTTATATTCATTGGGATATTTAATTGGGTTTACATTAGGATAATGACAGAGGTTATTATAGGTCGCGTGTAACCTCTTCTTATATCTACTAGATACAGAAGAAGATTAATTAAATTACCATACTACAAATACCATACCGTAATCAAATAATTTGTTTGAAAAGCTTGGGCCCAATACTCATTTTGCAAAATTCATCAATCATAATACATTCAAACATTACGCAGATGAAAAACCTTATAATATGTATTCCTAGGAATTATTACATGCCTTCAAAGCAAAGAAACAAGGTTTGATTTTGGGTCATGCACCACAACAGACGACATATGCACCACGGCATGTGACACAGAACCACAAGCCAAACCTTTATTATGTCATGCACCGCGGTGTAAGATGCCATGCGCTGCGGCATGCTAATATGAATTTGCTGTTATCAAATGCTAAACTTTCGGCATGCGCCGTTTTCATATACAATGTCCAATCAAAATGATTCTAGTGCCCATATGAAGCTCAACTTATAAATGAGATAGGTTTGGATACGATCTAACAGTCTGATTAAAATTTGAATACTCAAATGTAAAAAGTCACTTTTTCTAAAAATTTTCCATACCCTAAGTGCTTAAATTAATCTATTTGTCTCATTAGACCACACAAAGCCTTGAACCAAGTCTAAGAAGACCTATTACACTTAATTGACCATAATATATCACATATACTAAAATTTAACCCCTCAATAGCTAATTTTTACATTTATCAACTTTTCATAATTTGTCATCATTTGGCCCACTTGGCCTTCCCACCACAATTCCACTACAATTCACTACTTTAAATATTCACCATATATATACTACTGCTATCTTATCCCCATTAATCGTTTCACCACATGTATACATATATGGGCTAAGATTTCAGAAAATCACTACATTTTCAATAAAACACAACTCAGACATGCATGCAATCTCTTATGGCAACTCATTTACACCCTAATCACAAATTATTTAGTTCATTACACAACACTCTGAGTTCACATGGCTTCAACAACTTTAAGTTGGTCTAGACTCTTTTTTCTTGCTCTGATAACTGCTTTGTCTTGTAAAAATGTAATCACAGGGGGTGGAATAAAAATCTTAGTAAACTTTCTACTGATAACTATCATTTGCAACTATATGCAAGCATCACATAATATACTATCACTTATATCATCTAACATATATTTCATTTCAAAGTACACAAAATACGTCAATTCACTCTCTTTCGACTTATTTTCCACTTTCCATCACTTTTTCACATATACAACATGATCACTACCAACTGAATGTCTAAATCATCCTAACTTGAAGCCATAGGCTTGCCTTGGACTAATATACAATTTCATTGGCCTTGAGTTAGTGGTAGAATTACTCGATTAAAGGTATTCTATCATATATATACACAATGGGGTATCGTTGACTCTAACGCCATATCTAAAGAGTCTAAATCTCCAACCACTACAACATTTTTGTTCTATGGCAATGGTTCAAAACCGTTGCCATAGCGTGGAAAATCATTGCCTATAGGAATAGGCAACAATTTTAAGGCATGGAATCTACCCCCGTTACCTATTGTCTAAGGCAACGGCTTTTTTATATTTTAGGCCACGGACCATAAAACCGTTGCCTATAGTCTCACTATAGGCAACGAGTTTAAGGTATTATCATATGCAATGATTTTTACCTGTTGGTATGAATAGGCAACGGTTCTTTCCTATTAACATGTTGGTATAATAGGCAATGGTTTTTGCCTGTTGGTGTATGCTATTATAATTGGCAACGGTTTTAGCATGTTGGATTAAGGTGCTGTCATGTGACTATTCATTAAAAAAGGCAACGGTTTTTGCCTCTTGCTAGTAAGAATAGGCAACGTTTTTCTACCTGTACCAAGTGCTCTTGGACAACAATTCTCTTATGTTGCTATTGTAATTACAAGTTTTGACCATTGCTTTAAACATTAATTTCTATAATATTTTACCTAAAATGTAGTTTTACTTCTCAATTTAAACACAATTATTATATATTGACACTAGACAAAGAAAAATTCAATTATTTGACTACTAAAAATTTTGACATCAATTACCACATACACCAACATAAATAAGATTGATTTTCCCATATAATACTTGTTCAATATTTCCATGAACATAATGTCAAAGTACTTACAAAAGATACTAAATATTCCTAAAATATATATATAGTATATCCAATAAAATTAACATAAAAACTTTCAAAAAATCTTCATTTACATCATTCACCAAAGTCAATTCTCTTTGTATGGCACACACGGTAGTTTGAATTTGAACATCTTCAAAAAATCTGATACAAAAAAAATCAAGTATTAGTTTTATGCTCTTATACACCATTGATCAATAAATAAAGAAAACCATCATATAAAAGGTAGACTATAACTAGAAATGATATATTATTTCTATAACACCAAAATAATCTATTTCCAAACCTCAACAAGCTTGTAAAATCATGAACCAATAAGCAAAGGAAAAGAAAAACTCAAGGGAGGGAGCATCATATTTAGCATTGTAGATGTAGAAAAGCCATCCTACTTCCCTCTCACACACACATGCAAAATTTAATGAAAATAATGATAACAATAAAGTAAGACGGTTACCTATTCAGAATGGGGAACATGTGTGGATGTAGAGGAATGTGGATGAAGTTGTCCAGCTAATTTTTGCTGCGTACTTTAGGCATCACCAATAGATAATCTTAGAAGAGCTTGCACTGCCTCTGGATTGACCTCAGGAGGAATATTACTATTCTATAATAAGGCCTTGACAAGATCTTGAAGTCCATGTACTTGTTCTTGTACAGTTTCAAATCGTCCTTCCAATGAAGCCACTTTCTCATTATGATCACATTTAATTGCATTGATCTCTTCCTTTCATTTTAAAGCTATTGGCGTGACAACTCTCCCAAAACAACGCACCATCCCTGATTTATCCTTTCCAAACATAGCCTGGAATGCTTCATCACTATTTTCATTGCTATTCTCAATTACACGTTGAAGTTGTGACTAGAAAAAAAAACAATGTCATTTAAAGGTAAAAGCAATTCTTGAAATTCATAATTAGGCAACCTATAATTTAATTTACAACACATTTGAAACTTACAATTGCATTTTCAGTTTCCAAATCCAACTTCTTTCCATTACCACTTTAACGAGCTTTAATAAACATGTCTACTTTAGTAGGACTCCTATTATACTTTTCCCGCTATACAAAAGGATAAAATTAATCAATCCATCAAACCAATCTAGCAATTAAACTTCTATAAAATAACCAAAACAAAGCATTCATCAACAATAAATGTTACCACTCTTTCACGAATTACAGCAAAATCTTTTGGGCCTACTCGATGCCTCCACTTTTGTCTAGCTCTATTCCTAATGTTTATAGAACTAATTGATTGCATTCAATGAAAAGGAATAATAGAAAATTAGTAATACAATTTTGCAGCATTTGTAAAAAGAAGTTACCTATCTTACTTTTATTTTTTTTGTGCTCTAATATTGACAAAGCTTTCTAAAATGAGATTCTGGCACATCTAATGGAGAGTTTTTCAATCTTTCAGTCATAGTTGCATAGTTTGTATAATGTTTTTGTTTAATTGCACACTTATACCATCTCCAAGCATCTGAATGGTAGCTTCTACCTAAGCCCTCCCTTTCTCTGGCACAATAAATTTTTTCTACAAGAACATAAGGAAAAATAAGAATCATGAGTATAAAATAAGCAAATAAGAACACAGTAAACCTTTTTAACCACTCTAGAATATATACATTAACATGTGCTCATAATTCATCTTTACTCTTTTTAGGAAAGCCTTTCCAAGTAGTGAATATCAAAGGACATAGCTGAGAATTTCTAGCCAATGTTCCTAAGAAGAAACTTAGATCAGACACAATTTTCTCAGTAGGCCCAATAGGTTGTTGATCATCATTTAACAACACTTGCACTCGCTCTTCAAGACTCCTTACATGAATATTTCTGCAAGCAGTTTTTGTTGTTGTCCCTATTTTCATTTTAATTATGTCAACATAATAATATATAGAACTTTTAACATTTAAATAACATATACATGCATTAAAAAGAAAAGTTATAAATGACTTACCTTTTATAACATCATTGTCTTCTTCACTGATATCTATATGAACTTGGTCAAAATCATTTTCCCTACTAAGGTCATTTTCTTCCTGTCTCAAGTTGTCTTCCTCTATGGCTTTTTCAAGTTCACCTTGTACTTCTTGTCTCAAGTTGTCTTTCTCTATGGCTTTTTCAAGTTCACCTTCTACTTCCTGTCTCAAATTGTCTTCCTCTATAGATTTTTCAAATGGACTTTCTTGCTATCTCTAATTATCTTCCTTTGTAGCTTTTTCATTCTCATTTTCTTGCATTCTCAAATCTCCATGAGTTTTGATAAAGTCATTGATTAACATTGCTGGGCAAATTGGGTTCCTCTTTATCTTTTTTGTAAGATTTTGTGATGACTCATCAAATCCTTCAATGATATTTTTAGAAATATCATTTTTCCTTTAAATTGTTGGCCTTTGAGAGGAACTTTGGGATTGAGAAGAAGAAAAGAAGTGCTTCTTTATATCTTGCTTTTGCAAGGAAGGTTTGACAATTTGATTTGGTTTGCTAGCAAGGGAGACTTCTTTATGTCTTGCTTTTGGATCATCTTGTGCTTTCCCTTGCAACTTTTCAATTTTTTCACGTTTAATTTCTCTCATCTTCTTCAACAATTCAATGCTTGATCTTGCTTGGATAGAATAATTAAAACCTTTCATTTTATAAGGACTTGGAACCTTCTTGTTAATGATATAATCTTTTCCTTTTAAATGTTCTCTGTTATTCATTTTTAATAATCTACATAAAAGAATAAAAAAATTAATGAATGACAAAGAAAGACAAATATTAATTTTTATGGTGATGTTATGAAATGGACTAAGCATGTTATAATTAGTTAGAACTTACTTGATACTTGATTTGCCAACACACTATTTTGATTAGTTGTAAACACTGTACTTCTATCAAGCTTGAGTCAAACTGAAACAAACTAAGAGAAATAGCAAAACACATAATAGTTTACATTCCAATAATAAATAAACACAATAAAAGAAGACAGAATATGACAAAGGAAACCAGAAAACAAAAATGATCCTTCTATATAATACATATCATTGTAACTATGAATAGAGGAGGAGACTTACAATGAAAAGATGTGAATCCCACATAATATTAGAAGACCTATTAAATGTCTCAACAGTGGGAAGCTTATACTTCACCTAAAGAGACATAAAAAAGAGCATCTTTTAGTCAATTTGCATAATAACAAACAAAACAAAATACTCATGTGATATATCAAATTGGTCATTTTAAATATTAATCAATTTTTAAAAGAAATCTATAAAAAAATTAAGTAATTAAATACAAGTGAATTTACCTTCTCTTTCACTTTCACCATCGTCATCACACTCACCTTGTCTTTCACCCTCACCATTACTTTCACTTTTACTTTCTCCTTCAAGTTCACTTTCACTTTCAGTTTCAATCACCACTTCACTTTCATCTTTTTGGACATGGAGTGAAGATAGAGGTATTTCAATAATATCATCAGGTACATCCTGCCTAACCAAGTCAAACTCACAATCATCCTCTAGAGCATCATGAATATTTATCAAGGACTCACTACAAGTTTCACCTGACTTATATTCTTGAGCATCTCCATTACCATCTCCCATGTTAAATAGATCTCTTGAAAGTGTCTTCATTACATAATGTTTATGGTCATCAAAAGGGTCTTTGACATAAAAGCATTGTTACACTTGTGATGCTAGTACAAAAGGATCATTCTTGTAACATTTTCTATTAGATTTAACAAATGTCAACCCATATTTGTCTTCTCCATCCTCAAACCAATCACACTGGAATAATACATATTTAGCATAACCATAGTAGTCTAACTCAATGATGTTAGTAATTGTCCCATAGCATGTTAAGTAGACTTGTTCTGGGTTTTCATCCTTGGCACTTTTAAAACTTGAAGCAAATGCCTCTAATGTAACACCACTATTTTGGGTTTTTCTCCTTGCATCATGCCACTTAATATGAAATCTATATCCATTAATGACATACCCAGAAAAGCTCTTAGCAATATGGTTTGGTCCTTTAGATAGATGCTTAACCTACTCTAGTACATCCGCACTCATTGCACGTGTTTCAAACCATTGAATGAAATTTTCTCTTTGAGTTTTAGCTTTGGTCCACTTGGTTCTTTTTTGATGACTATGAATTTTAGTCTTATGCTCTCTAAAACAAATGTTTAGTATACTTGTTAATGAAATAATAAAACAGATTATATTAAATAAAGATAAATAATTAGCTAGTCAAGGAAAGTACCTAATATAATCTTGTACTTCATCGCAAGTAAACAAAATGCACCTATGGGCTTGGTTTACCATCTGGTGGTTAAGTAAGAAAAGTTTCTTTCCCCTTATAGGATGACCCTCTGGACACTCATCATCATTTCTATTCATTCTATTCATTCTTATATCTACATCACTAGACAAATATCTAGAGTAAAATGTTAAAGACTCTTTAACCAAATATGCTTCAGCAATAGACCCCTCGAGTCAACTTTTATTACGAACAAATGTCTTTAAATCACCCAAATATCTCTCCATGTAATACATCCATCGAAATTGTATTGGTCCACCTAGTCTAACCTCATTTGCTAGGTGAATAGGCAAGTGAACCATTATGTCAAAGAAACTAGGTGAGAAAATTTTTTCTAATTGACAAAGTATTTTTGCAATATCTACTTCCAAATTTTCTAAACTTTTGGGCTCAACAACCTTTTGGCATATTGAACAAAAAAACTTGCTAAGACAAATAAGAGAAATAGCAACTTGAGCAGGAGTTATCCCATTTATTGCTACTTGCAACAAGTAATGCAATATTATATGGGCATCATGACTTTTATATCCAGAAATTTTTCCTTCATTCACTTGCACACATCGTGAAATGTTTGAGGCAATACCGTCAGGCAATTCCACATCCTTTAAAACACCACAAAGTATGGATTTCTCCTTACTAGTTAGGAAGAAACATGCCGTTGGAAGCTTAGTTTTCTTACCATCACTTGTTGCCTTTAAATGAAGCTTCTTTCTTATCCCCATTTGCTGCAAGTCTAATCGAGCTTTCACATGATCTTTTTTCTTTCCATCAATCTCTAAAAGATTCCTAATTATATTGTCACATATATTCTTCTCTATGTCCATTATGTCAAAATTATGATGTAAAGTATTATATTTCCAATATGGCAACTCCCAAAATATAGATTTCTTCTTCTATGGTCCATCCTTCCTTTTCTTTTCATTCTTCACAAGGACAAAGGAAATGTTTTCTAAGTCTTCTAAAATTCTTGTTGCCTCTAATGCTGAGGGTGGAGACCGATACTCGGTTTCTCCATTGAATGATGATGCATCTGATCTCCACTCATGGTTTGGGTTTAAAAAAACTCGATAACCCATATAGCACATCTTCCGACTATGTTTTAAATAAGTTGAACTTGTCCCATAATTACAAGTAGGACAAGCAAATCTTCCTTTAGTGCTCTTACCAGATAACATTGCATATGTAGGGTAGTTACTCACAGTCCATAAAAGAGCCATATGCATTTGAAAGGTTTGATTTTTGGAAACATCATAAGTTTCTACCCCGACATCCCACAATAACTTTAACTCATCAATTAATGGTTGTAGGTACACATTAATTGCATTTCCAAGAGATCATGGCCCAGGAATAAGCAAGGACATCATAAAATATTTAGGTTTCATGCATACGTTTAGAGGATAATTGTATATGGTTAGTACTACAGGCTAAGTACTATGAGATAAGCTCATAGTTCTAAATGGATTAAATCTATCGCTAGCCAACCCAAGTCTTATATTATGAGGATCAAGAGCAAATTTTGGATGTTTGGCATCAAAGTCCTTCTATGATTGGCCATCAGCTGGATGCCTTAATTTACCATCTAATGAACGTCCTTCAGCATGCCATCTTAAAGAATCAGCCATTTTTGAACACATAAATAGCCTTTTCAATCTTGGGATTAAAGGATAATGTCATAGAACTTTAGCTGGAACCTTATGAGCTTTCTTAGATTCCTCTAGCTATTATCTACCTCAGGATATTCAATCCATCGTGAAGCTCCACAAAGATGACAAAATTCATCATCCTTATGTTCTTTCCAAATGAGCATGCAATTGTAGGGGCATGTATTAATCTTTTTGTAATCTAAACCTAAGTCCCTTATTATAGAATTTGTTTTATTAAAAGAGGTGGGAATATTCAAATTAGGCAGAGCCTCTTTTAATAACTTTAGAAGGGCAGTAAATGATGCATTACTCCATCCATATAGACATTTTAACAAATACATTCGGATGATAAATGATAAGGTGGAAAATCTCTTACAACCGGGATACAACTCTTGTTTATCTTCCTCAACTAGTTTATAGAACTTTTTTGCATCTTCATTGAGGCCTTCATAAAGTTCATTTGCTTCTGCTGCATTTCTAAATGTCTCAAACAATAGACCATCTACGTCATCATGTGATTCATCTTGTCCACCAATGTCATTATCAAGATTCATACCACTTATCATTTCTCTATGATAAATCCAATCTGTGTAACCTTCTACAAATCCTTTAGCTATTAAATGGTCAAACACTACATCTCTCTTTTTCCACCTACAGTTGCCGCATGTAACACAAGGGCATAAAATCTCATTTTCTATAGGATTTCCATTATTAAATGTAAAATCTAAAAAGTACTCAACACCTCTAATGTAATTAGCACCATATCGAGGCTTATTAACCCAATCCTTCTTCAACATTATATGGTTTTAATATAGTCCTCTAACTAATTCACTCTGCCTAATAAAATAGGGGTAACCCTCTAACCAGAGTTTTCATTATCACTATAAATGAAAACATTTCTATTAATAAGAAAAGACCTATAAAATAAGAAAATGAAAATAATTATAGGACAAGAAAGGTTTGACGAAGGAAAGGGTATATAAAAAATTATAAAATGAAGCCATAGAAAACTTAGACAATAAATAAATGATGTAATAGTGACTATATATCAATCGATTTATTTATATCTTTCAAAAGCTCATATATTATGAAGAAATCATCATCTCATGTAAAAAAATAATAACTAAAAGATAATTCATAAACTAGAGGCAATAAGAAAAAGAAAAGCAAATAGAGCACATCACTGTTTATTTTGATATATATAAAAGAAAGGGCATACTAAAAACATGTTGGTAAACAAAATCAAATGAGGAAATTTCTAGGCTCAAAATATGGCCATCAATCAATGTAACGTGCAAGACCTTCACATTTTTTATTTTATTTTATTTTAATTATAGTCAATCAGTTAAACTTTAAATGAGTGGCAATTGTGACCGACATGATTTGTGGGCTTAAATAATAAATTAACTCATGCCTGTGATATAGGTTTCAAAATTAGGGGTTCAGAGTGTGGTTTATCAAGATGACTATTTTTGGGTTATTTTTTCTTTGGTTGCCTGAAAATGGTTCCTAGAATTGTTATACCAAGTCACTAATTGCATTAACAGAGTTTTTTCAACAGTCAACCATGATCTGATTATTCTGTGTGAAATAGCTTATTCGTTTATTAGTCATGCCGAAACTGTCTAATTCATTTACTTTTTGACCTTCAAACATAAAATAGAGGGACACAAAAGCTTTCAATGATTTCCTCTTTTTCAAGCTCCTAACACTCTTATATATGTTCTTGCTTTTTTCTTCTTTCCATTCTCTCTAACTTCTATATACTTGCCTAATGTCTTCCTTCTATAACAGCAGCTCCCTTAACAATCTCATTTTTAAAGGAAATGTATTTTCTTTTAAATGAAAATTTCATGTTATTTTGTATGGTCCTTTTTGGATTTATTCGACTTAATAATAGGGCATCAAACCAGTTATTAATATTACTTACAAGATATTCTAATTTGAAAAGGCATCCTGATAAAATATCTGCTAAATGATACTCTAATTTTCTGCACAATAAGAGTATTTCTTCAACCTTTAACAGGTTGATCCATGGGTCAAAACAGGGTTTTCGGATAGGGTTTCAAACTCAACAATACATCAACAATTTTGCATGAATTTGAGGGAGCTAAACATATATTTATGATGTATATGGAATTTCTAACTTGTGCATAGCATTAATTTGAAATACAAGCAAGTAGAATCATAAACCAAAAGACAAAATTTTCACTCATGCCAGTTCGTTGGTTTGGTTAAGGAGTGAGTAACTTATTAGCACATAGACAAAGCAAAGATAGATTAGATGGCAACGAAGGAAAGACGACGCGGAGAATGTCATGGATACTAGGAAAGATGATGAAGGAAGAACAAACCAATAGAAGGAAGAAGGCAACGGGCCTAAAGATGACAATCATAAGGAGAAGTGACGGCAACCTATGGTAACCCCTACCAAGAGAAGATGCTGCGACCCACAAAACCCATGGCACCAAACTAGCATTTTAGAGAGCTTTAAGCTTGGGGTTTGGCTTCATCAATGGCGCACAACAACAAGAGAAATTTTAGATAAGAGATGGACAAATTTCGGCTTTGGGCATGTAAGGTTTTGTGGAATTAATGGGTTCCTTTTTTTTACTTCAAATACTCATATTTTAATATAAATT